ATTAATTCGAAAAAGATATTAAATAGACACAGACGTAAGGGGGGATAGGGTTAAGAAGGGTGGGGGCATAAATAAACAAATTAAACAAACAGAGAGGGAGAGAGAAAGAGAGAGAGAGAGAGAGAGAGAGAGAGAGAGAGAGAGAGAGAGAGAGAGAGAGAGAGAGAGAGAGAGAGAGAGAGAGAGAGAGAGAGAGAGAGAGAGAGAGAGAAGGATAGAAAGAGAGAGAAGGATAGAAAGAGAGAGAGAGAGAGAGAGAGAGAGAGAGAGAGAGAGAGAGAGAGAGAGAGAGAGAGAGAGAGAGAGAGAGAGAGAGAGAGAGAAAGAGAGAGAGAGAGAGAGAGTGAGAAGGATAGAAAGAGAGAGAGAGAGAGAGAGAGAGAGAGAGAGAGATAATAATTATAGTAATAATAACGATAATACTGATAGTATTAATAATAATATAATAATGATGATGATAATAATGATAATGATAATGCCACTTATACTAATACTAATACTAATAATAATGATGATAATAGAATATGCTTAACCACAGCCTGCTACAGAAATACAGACAAACACACATTCACACAGGAGAGTGAAGATTAAAGACATATCTACAGACAATGACAGACGGAAAATTACACATCTTGAGATCTTGAAAAATGAAAGAAAGGAAAAGAAAAAGAAAAGAGAAATAAGGAACGAATTAATAAAAATAAGATATATAAGATTAGATAATGAAAAAGGGAATAAAAGATTATAGATGGGAAATATAATCCGGATAAGAAAAAAAGAATAAATAAATAACAACGTAAACACCAACTTCGAAAAAGAAGAAGAAGAGGAAGAAAGAGAGATTGGCGAGGAATTAAAGAAAAAAAAATATATATATATATTTATAATTTCTTTTTTATAAATATAAGAAGATGTCAGCATATGATATATTCCGACATTTTAGTGTAAGAATGCAACATATTTTTTTTTCCAGTATCGTAATAAGACTTTTTATTTTAGATTTTGTAAATGTGAATATTTTGGGATCGACACTGATAGTGGTATACCATAACTTCTAATTAACTATTGCTAATGTCATTGTTATTCATTTTTATGATTCTAAGTTTCATTTCAATATCACTGATATCAGAAACAATAACATTAGCATAGATAATATAACGACTTTTCATAACCAATTTAAGCAACTATCAATATCAGAATTAGTATAAACATTAATATCGCCTTTATCAATCGAAAGATAACTGATAACGTCATCAATATCATTATCTTTTGATAAATTTAGTTTTAAATACCAAATGATTCGAAACACCACATGATTCAAAATACCACATGATTCGAAACACCACACGATTCGAAATACCAAGTGATTCGAAATACCACATGATTCGAAATACCAAGTGATTCGAAACACCACATAATTCGAAACACCACATGATTCGAAATACCAAGTGATTTTAAATACCACATGATTCGAAACACCACATGAATCGAAACACCACATGATTCGAAATACCAAGTGATTCGAAATACCAAGTGATTCGAAACACCACATGATTCGAAACACCAAACGAACCATTCACCGCGAACCATTATCTCAAAACCACAAGTTACGAGTCGAAAATGTTTTCACAAATCATCAGTTACATTTCATATTTTCGATAGATTACAGGCTTTTTTTTTTTCTTTCTTTTTTTTTGTCTTTTTTTTTGTTTCTGTAATAACGAATGCACCCATAGGATCTGCAGCGCCGATGATGATTAAAGAAACTATTTCAATATCAATATCAACTTCAATTTCAACTCTTTATTCCATTTTATTGCAGAACGAAAATCGAAACGAAATAAATACCCTTTTTGGGATCTGATCATAATATATTGATCAAGCTGCTGTATACATTATAATTAGTGTCATCAGGGAAATTGCTGTCATTATCATTGTCATTATCGTTACTAATGTTGGTATAGAAGTCATTATCATGTACGATATTTTTACATTTATCAATCTTTTTAAATTATAATTTTTTTGTTTGTGTTATTACGTGAATTTTTCGTCTTGTTTTTTATTCATATTATTATTATTTTTTTTTTATAGAATTTCTCGTAGAATATATTAAAATAGTGAATTATACTGTTTGTTGCTATCATTATATCAAATGTATTCATATAGAGTGAAGAATTTTTTTCTATCTCAAATATTCATAATTTATGTAATCTATTGCGTTTGTTATAATAACATTAATGAAAAAGATAATAATGATGATAATGATGATGATGATGGAGATAATAAAACTAATTTCAGTGATAATGATAATAATAATAATAATAATAATAATAATTGTATTACTAATAATAACAATAATGATAATAATAATAATAATAACAATAATAATAACAATAATAATAATAATAATAATAATAATAAAAACAATGATAATGACGATGACGATAATGAAAAAAAAAATAATATTGATAATAAGCTAATAACAACAATGATCACAACGATTGCAACGAGGATTATGAACGTTAGCCTAATATATCTGAGAATATTTGATCACGTTGGGCCGTTTCACTCTTTTCTCGGCTCGACCAGAAGCCATAGGTTAAGGTACCTACTTATTATCCTTTCTACTCTTCCTACTTCTTCTTCGTTTTCTTCTGCTTCTTCTTTTCTTTTTCTTATTTTTCTTTTTCTTATTTTTCTTCTTTGTTTTGTTTTTGTTATTTTCTTGTTCCTGTTCTTCTTCTTCTTCTTCTTCTTCTTCTTCTTTCTTCTTCTTCTTCTTCTCTCTTCTTCTTCTTCTTTGCTTCTCTCTTCTTCTTCTTCTTCTTCTTCTTCTTCTTCATCTTCTTCTTCTTCCTCCTCCTCCTCCTCTTCCTCTTCATTCTCCTCCTCCTTCTCATTGTCTTCCTCCTCCTCTTCCTCTTCCCCCTCATTCTCCTCCTACTCCTTCTCATTGTCTTCCTTCTCCTCCTCCTTCTCACTGTCTTCCTCCTCCTCCTCTTCCTCCTCCTCCTCCTTCTCTCCTCCTCCTCCTCCTCCTTCTCCTCCTCTCCTCCTCTTTTTTTCCCGACTTTTGTAATTAACGGGGGAGTTGGGGGGGGAGAGGACAATATATTATCCCGAGATAAATATGTCTATCGGGGTATCTATCATCATTATCGACGTGGGAAGGGGTTGTTTTGTGGTAGTCGGTAGCTGCATTTTTTTTTTTTTGAGGTAGGGGGAAGGGGGAAAGGGAAGGGGAAGGGGGAAGGGGGGAGGGTGGGGTAGAGAGGAAGGGTAGGGAATAGAGGAAGGGGAACAGGGGGAGGATGGGAGGGTAGGAGGGAGGGAGAAAGAGGTGGAGGGGAGGGTAGGAGGGAGGGAGAAAGGGAGGGGGAGGATAGGGGGGGGGGGCGAAGGGGAGGAACAGAGGGGAGGGAAGGAACGATTTTTTATCGTGTTGTTTCATCTTATTTGGAATGTATTGGGAGGGAAAAATACTGTGTTTATCTCCCTCCTCCCCTCTCTCTTTGTCTCTCTGTCTCTGTCTCTGTCTCTGTCTCTCTCTCTCTGTTTCTGTCTCTGTCTCTCTGTCACTGTCTCCGTCTGTCTCTCTGTCTCTCTCTCTTTCTCTCTCTTTCTTTCTTTCTTTCTCTCTATCTCTCTCTCTCTCTCTCTCTCTCTCTCTCTCTCTCTCTCTCTCTCTCTCTCTCTCTCTCTCTCTCTCTCTCTCTGTCTGTCTGCCTATTTCATGTACTGTGTTATCTAACAAAGCATAGACAACGTAATACCAATTAAATTATTTACTAACATCATATTTCCACAAGGAGAAACAGAGCCCCGTAACATGAACAAAACTTATAGAGATGGAATAACTGATGAACTTACTAATGCATTCATTCGTAAACATAAAATAAAACGAACTGACACAGACATGAATCAGCACATAAGTATAATAATAAGTACACACATTACTGCTTGCTTACATCACACACTTACACATTTGCAAAGAAACACACACTAATGGGGATAAGAAATTCGGATTAGAAGCATAAAAGTCAATATATTATCTCATATATGGGAAAATTAATTCGAAAAAGATATTAAATAGACACAGACGTAAGGGGGGATAGGGTTAAGAAGGGTGGGGGCATAAATAAACAAATTAAACAAACAGAGATGGAGAGAGAAAGAGAGAGAGAGAGAGAGAGAGAGAGAAGAGAGAGAGAGAGAGAGAGAGAGAGAGAGAGAGAGAGAGAGAGAGAGAGAGAGAGAGAGAGAGAGAAGGATAGAAAGAGAGAGAAGGATAGAAAGAGAGAGAGAGAGAGAGAGAGAGAGAGAGAGAGAGAGAGAGAGAGAGAGAGAGAGAGAGAGAGAAGAGAGAGAGAGAGAGAGAAGAGAGAGAGAGAGAGAGAGTGAGAAGGATAGAAAGAGAGAGAGAGAGAGAGAGAGAGAGAGAGAGAGAGAGAGATAATAATTATAGTAATAATAACGATAATACTGATAGTATTAATAATAATATAATAATGATGATGATAATAATGATAATGATAATGCCACTAATACTAATACTAATACTAATAATAATGATGATAATAGAATATGCTTAACCACAGCCTGCTACAGAAATACAGACAAACACACATTCACACAGGAGAGTGAAGATTAAAGACATATCTACAGACAATGACAGACGGAAAATTACACATCTTGAGATCTTGAAAAATGAAAGAAAGGAAAAGAAAAGAGATACATACACACCAGCAGACAATCATAGTCACAGACACTCAGAGATAGTTACAGTTACACTCAGACACACCCGAGGACAGTCACAGACACAGACACACAACAACCACCGCGCTACACTTACAGCCACACACACACACACACACTCGAAGACAATCACAGGCACAAAGAGGCACAAACAAGCACAGCCAGACACAACAGCCACTCGCACACACACTCGGAAACAGTCACAGACACAAGGAGATAGTCACAGCCACATAGGAGACACTCAC